ATGTTCCAACACCCATCCCTTCACCAATGCCCACTTCCCTCCATCAATACCCCCACCCCCCCGGTTTCCTTCCTACCCCCCATCTGCCTCTATGACAGGCAGTTTTTAAAAAATTGTATTTTATTTTTGGTTTTGGAATGCTCAGAGGTTACTCATGGCTCAAGACTCAGGACTAATTCCTGGTGGTGCTCGAGTGACTATATGGGATGCTGGGGATTGAATCTGGGTCAGCCACATGCAAGGCAAATGCCCTACCTACTGAACCTGACCCTGAGGCACTTTTAAAAATATGTATTTTAACTTTTGGCACTGTGGTTTGCAGTACACTTTACTGCCTTCCAGCGCCCCTCCTCCTTTCCCTGTCCTATTCCCCATTAATCCCTTTGCTCATTTTTGTACATGTCCAGGCAGTGTTCTTGTGTCCTGCATACTCTAGGTATGGGCATGTCAAATCAAGTGTCGTGGGACTCTGCTCAGCATGGTAGGGTGTACCTTATCTGTCAATAGGGTATACCTAAGTATATAGCTTACTGCACATCTGGTTTACCAGCAACTTATTGTACAGTCCGAGTCATGGTTATCTCTGAGCTAAATGACTGCACGATCCTTCTAGCTGGTTTCCCCATTTCCTTCTCCTCCTCCCCTGTCTCTTCTCCAGACTATAGACAGAATCATCTTTTTAAAATAAAGGAAGGTGGGAAGCAGAGAGGCAATCCAGGGGTTAAGGTGCCTGCCTTTCAGACAGCTAATTCTGATTTCATCCTATCACCATGTATGCTCCTGTGAGCCCCACTAGGAGTGGTTACTGAATCCCCGAACACAGAGTAAGCCCTAAGCACTGCCAGGCATGGTCCCCATACCAAGGATAGAAATAAATATAATAAAATAGATTGAACATCTCATCCATGCTGTCCAGAACTACCCCATGACAATCCAGCTCAGAATAGAAATCTTGACAAGGGGAAATAATCTTCCACCCTAGACCCACCTGCTCTCAGACCCTCTCTCCAGGCCTGCTGCTGCCCCTCTGCCTGGAACACACCACTCTGGAGAGAAGTATGGCTGGCCCCTGCCCTCCTTCAGTTCTGCCCAATCATTCCCTATCAGGTCTAGTCCTCCCTAAAGACTAGATTTAAAATAGTGCCTACCATAAACTTCCTCCCCAATCCCCACCCTGTCACTGCCTGCCCTGTTTTCTTCAAAGCACTCACTACCACCTGAGGCATTACATGTTTCATTTATTTATTACCTCTGCAGGCGCTGTGGGCTGGGGATATAGCTGTTCTTTAACTGTTTTGTATGTAAGAGGCCCTGGGTTCAATCCATGGAACTACCAGCATATGAGAGAGAGAGAGAAAGAGAGAGAGAAAGAGAGAGAGAGAGAGAGAGAGAGAGAGAGAGAGAGAGAGAGAGAGAGAGAGAAAGAGAGAAAGAGAAATAAAAGAGAGACATAAGGGAGGGAAAGAGAGTGAGAGTCCTTTCCAGACTTGGCAGAAGTGCAGGTGCCACCGTGGGAGTTGATTACCACCACCACAAAGACCTAAAGGTGTAGCAGTGCAAGGATCCCAAGTACCAGGGCATCTACCCAAGGCTGTGGGTCAAACTCAACCGGTTTCGGGCCAGGAACTCCACATTCAACCAGGCTGTGCTGAAGACCATACATGAATCTGACCCATTGATGGACACATCCAGGAGGTGCCCAAACTGTCCTGTGTGACTGCCCGGGCCCACACTTGCATCCTCAAGGCCGGAGGCCAAATCCCAACCTTTGATCAGCTGGCCCTGGATTCCTCCAGAAGCTGGGGAACTGTCCTGCTCTCTGGCCCCTGCAAAGGCCAGGAGATTCAGAGGCATTTTGGCAAGGTTCCTGGGACCCCACACAGTCACATTAACCCCTACATGTGCTCCAAGGGCTGCAAGTTCAAGCATGTGGAACACAGAAGGACCAGCCATGGCTACAGAAAACTAACCTGGACCCTGCTTTATTAAAGAATTTGGATGCTTAGGAAAAAGAAAAAAGAAAAAAAAAAGAAGGAAATAAAGAGAAAGAAAGAGAAAACAACAACAACAACAAAAAAGCAGCTTTGGGCCCTGTGGCCCAAGGGCATAAAGGCTTTTGCTATTTTGTTGTCTAACTGCACATTTGACAGTGCCCGAGAATGACAGAAGAAAGGGCTCTGGGCAGATGATGGGGCTATTATTAAGTCACAACAGCATCACCCTCTAGTGCGCAAAGCCCAGTCCCCTGGCTGCACACTCAAGAAGCTGGCCCTGCGTTCAGAAGCCAGGGCGTGCATGGGGACTGCTCTGGGCCTGGCCTCCCACCAGGTTCCCGGGTGGAGGCAGAAAGGTGACTGGGGAGTGGGGGGCTGCCTGCCTGGCCTGGGGGGAGGTTTTGTGCACACCTGCAAAGAACTCTCCCAGGAGGCCACGTTCCTTAACATTAGCTGACCTTGGGGCTCATCAGCTCCTAGTCTGGGGAGGACGCTAGGGTTGTCTGTAGAGAGAAGGGACAATCTGTTACGGCTTTGTGGACTTACTGTGCTTGCTATTTCTGTCCCAGACAAGTCCCCGCTCTGGCAGGCTTATCACAGCAGACACCTTGCCTGCCTTCCAATCTAGTTTGTTCTTGACTCTCTCCACAGGCTCCTTCCACCCAATCTTGGGCCCTAATGGACTGTTTACTTGAGTACCCCCTCTTTTATAGTGCTTCCACACTCTGGCAATGGGAGGTGGTGACGGTAGAGATCCCCTCACTGTCCCTTCCTTAAGTGAAGATGGCTTATCTCGTGCACCTACAATGCCCAGAAGGTGGTAACATCTGTTTTCATAGCCTTAGCCCTCAGCAGTGTGTGGCCCAGAGAGGCGCTCACCAAGGCTCACAGTATAGCTGAATTCGGTGTTCAAAGCGCCAAGTGAATTCTGTTCTATATTCTCTCTTCTCCTATACCTGGAGAATTCTACATTCTAGAAGTAATTCTATTACCTTCTGTGTCTTTTGTAAGGCTCCCTAGAGTTATTTGGAAATTTAATTCTTCATTGGTCTAAGAAACTACCTAACCAGCAAGAATTAAAATACCTCAAATTAAGGGATCAATAGTTTAAAATGCCAGTTTAAATCCTCACAGTTCTATTTTATAACTTTCAGTTGCTTTCATTTATTTTTGATTAGAGAAACATATCTGAAAGCCTAAGTTACCAAGTGATAAATTACAAATGACACCTTCAATTCCCTGAAGAACTTCTTTGAACTGAGACTTGCTGGAGTTATCACAATTTTTAGCTAGAGACTGACTTATGAGAAAGATGGGGGAAAATTAAAGCCAAAACATTAGGATCTGACCCTATGTAAAGCTGAGTTAAATTTTGGTGGTTTTGGTTAGGTTTTGAGCACGTGAATGTTTAATTCTTAGCACCTTTTGGTGAGTTTGAAAAACTTAAACCTTCACACCACACAGACATTTTCCTTCCTGTGTGAGATCAAACATGAGATGACCCAGCTTTACTCTGTAAGAGATGCTATTGGCATGAAGGCAAAAACCGTGGGGCAGGTAACCCCTTTCCCTCCTTGGGTCTCAGTTTCTCTGAATATATACAACAGGAAGAAGGGAAGAGGTGATTGCTGGGCCATCCTAATTCTAAAGCCTGAAGAGTACATGGACTAGGGAAATCTGTTCATTATCAAGGTTTTCTCTTTACAAAGGGCCCACTTCAGACTTTCTTTTTTTTCCATGCATTTGAACTAGAGGTTCTTAAACTTATTTGGCCTATTGCCTCCTTTTCAGAAAAAAAATAAATAGAAATCTTCCTTGAAATCTACCTTTTTTATGGGAACAAAGAGAGGACCCAGATAATTTATTCCAGTAACCCCCCGCCCCCACCCCCACCCCCACCCCCACCCCCAGTGCTATACTGACTGAGGAAATAATGATTTAAATTATGACTTGGCTTATTAAAATGTGTTTTTAATAAAAAATAATCTAATTCTTCGCCATTTAAAGATATCAGGCAACACCTCCGACCCCAAAAAGAGAAAGGTATCAGACATGTATAAAATGCTTTACTTCTATGGATAATTTGATTCAATCAACCCCAGATAACACCAGGAAGCAGAAACCAGCATTGTCCCATATTAAAGATATGGGCTTTAGCACCATATTGTTAACCAAGTTGCTCCTAGGCCAACTGTTTGAATTGGGGTGTTCAGGGATGCTTTCCCACTGCTGAACTACCATAATGCTCCATATTTTCCTAAGTGTGGCAACCCATTGGTGATAAGGTGATTTCTTTAACTTGAATCAGTTTTTTTGTGGGGGGGAACCACACCTGGCTCTGCATTCAGGAATCATTCCTGCTGGTGCTTAGGCGTCCATATGGGATGCTGGGGATCAAACACAGGTTAGCAAAAGGCAAGCAGCCTCACCCTCTGTATTATTACTCCAGGTCGGCTTCAATTAATTTTTGTGACATGCGTAGTGATGCTTTTAATCAAGAAAATCTCCTTAGCATGTTCCACTCTAGAGCTGCCCACATCCCATCTTGAGTGTGTAGTACTTCTCTTTTGGAATTCCCTGTTCTTCTCTCAGTCACCTGAATAAAACTATTTTACTAAAAAGGGTGGGGGGAGGAAGAAGAAAGAAAAAGAAATGCTCATTGGACTTTCCTGGACGAGTAACAGCGAATTTTACTAGTTCTCTGGAGTCACTTGTGGCCAATCCAGTGCGCAGACTGCTCTTTGGTTCTTTAGCTCTAAGCGCACATTGTCTTGCAAATGATTCAGATGGGAAAATGCCATATGCCGGAAAATAGTGCCAGATTAATTTCACATATTTGAGATTTTTTTCATTTGTTTTTCTCACTTTGACAAGAAGGGGGTGAGGTGGGAAGGTCAAGAATCATTTGCCCACTTCACAAATGAGGAGGGCGAACATGAGATCACAGAAAGGGAGGTGCCTTGTCCTGGGGACTGGAAGCGAGTTAGTTAGATCCTAGATAGACCTTGAGTTCTCTCTTCACGATGCTCTCTCGGATGTGAAAAGGATCGCCAGACTCAAGCACTTTGCTGGCAGCTAGGACCAAATGACAACCGTTTTGAAGCCTGGGGCATGCTAAGTCTGGCACCTGTGCTGGAGTAGGAGAACCCTGCACCAGCACTGGCCATCCCCCCTCCTCACACCTGTCCCAGGCGATAAGGAAAGCAGAAGTAGCCGCAGCTGTGGTCCTAGCAGATAAAACGTTTAGGCGGGAAGTGCAATGACAAGTGAACTTGTAAAGTGCAAATGTGTGCTTTTAACTGTCAGTTGCTTTTGATCTTTTTTAAAAAGCCTGTTTGCAGAAGTCAGACCAAATAGCAGGAAGGTAGAGAAGCAAGATGGATTTGGGAAAGGACCAGTCGCGTCTGGCGTTGCAGAACACACCTGCTCCTCAGCAAGAACAGAACCATGTTCCAGGTAATGAAGGTCTTGGAAGGTGGGGGCTGTTGGGAATAAACGGCTCTATAAATATTTCCTCTTTTAAAAAAGGGATCTGAAAAGAAAAAGAGGCATAATTGAGTATGTTCAGGAACCTTAAATGGGAGAATGAAATACGAGGAATAAATGATAATGTTTAAAATAAGAGACAATGAAAATACCCGGAATAGTGTACTTCTATGGGGGTGCATATTTGGTAGAGCTTTGGGAAAGAGACCTGGAGAGAGGACATCACTATATTATTCTCTAATCTCATTCCCCTGAGTCTTTGTATCTATGCTCACACAGCTTTTCTTAAAATGTTTTGCAAAACCCTAGGCCTCGAGATAGTGTCTAAATGTTGTTATGTTGTGAATCCCTTTGGTAGTCAGATGAGCCTCTGGACTCCTCCTTAGAATAAATATTTTAAGTATATAAGATGATGTATACAAGAATACAAAGGAATAAATTGTTAGGATAGTTTTCAAAATGAAAAACTGATATAGTGTTATGTGTGTATGTGTAGATGCATGATAACAAAATTCAATTGTGATCCAATAACTGTTGTATTGAGTCAGTTATAGAATCTCCAGTGAATGATTTTTTTTGTGAATGACATTTTGAGGTGTCTGCAACAATAGCACTGTGCTAGGAAGAAAAACTATAATTTCTTTTGGTGACAAAGAATTATACTGCTAAAATGATTACCTATATTTAGAATGAAAGAAAATGGTAATTTAGATACCGGTAAAAATAAAAGTATCCAAGATCACCATTAAGGAACTCTGTCATGGCCAGGGATACATTCAGTAGCAGACCCTATGTTCTGTGAAATAAACACCCTAGATTTGGTCCCAAGAACTAACAAAACAAGCGCAAAACTTCTGCCCTAAGAATTGTACAGGGATGAGGGATGTACAGCAAATGCCTTATATGTATCCTGACCACTGCCAAAAAGGTTCTGTAGTCCAAGGGGCATGTTGGCATTTGGGGCCCCAGGGAAATTTTATAGCCTCTAAGAAGTTAAACATTGAAGACTCAGTGGCTTTTTTCAAAATTGCATGGAAACTTTTTTTGATGATACCTTTTACATGTCAAAGAAATTTCAAAGAAACACCATCCTATGGAAAAAAAATCCAAGAGGAAAAAAATTGATTGCATGAATATTCTTATGATTGAGCTACAAAGGCAAAAAATAAAAAATAAAATAGGCAACAACACAAATGCTCAAACTAGTGGACTGCATAAATGATAGGTTGTTTACTTCTAAATCAAGTAAAAATCATTTACTTGATTGTCATGCCATTAAAGTTGTAGTTATAAAAATAACATCATGAAAAATATTTCTGATACATCAGGTTAATAAATGGTAAAATTATGGTATGCTATTAAAACAAATTTGTGTAATATAGGGTTCAGTTTTTTTTTTTTTTTTTGCTTTTTGGGTCACACCTGGCAGTGCTCAGGGGTTACACCTGGCTCTTTACTCAGGAATTACTCCTGGTGGTGCTCAGGGGACCACATGGGATTCTGGGAATCGAATCCAGGTCAGCCATGTGCAAGGCAAATGCCCTACCCACTGTACTATTGCTCCAGCCCCATGGATTCAGATGGTTTTGAAGAATAAAATAAAGGTCCAGAGAGATAATACAGTAGTTAATGTGCTTGCCTTGCATTAGGCTGACACTGGCACTTCATATGCTCTGAGTACCACCAAAATGACCCCTAAGCACAGGTGCTGTAGAACTTCTTAGAGGAGTATGTCCTGAGCACATTCAGGTGTGACCCCAAAATAGAGCAAAAAAAAACAAAACATCATTATGTTAAGGGTGTTTGGCTTGCTTTCATTGTACAACAAAAATATTCTGAAAAAATCATAATAGGTTGGTAGCACACTTACATGCAAATACTGGTTTTTTCTTTTTTTTTCACTTTTTAGCCACACCTGGCAATGTTCAGAGACTACTGAAATATTGGGAAGGCGATCTGCTTTTTCTCTGGGTGGGCTCTCTGGGGATCTTGCTCCAGGGATCAAACCTGGGCTCCCCGCATGCAAAGCCCCCACGCCAGTCTTTTGAACCATCTTTCTGATTCCAAATACTGACCTTTTCATAAAAAAAAGTTTATGGAATGTCTGTTCTTAGACATTCTTTGTAGAGGTAAAAGGATAAGTAGTACATTGTTCTGGTTCTTAAACGTCTAGGAGAAAAACTAATATCCAGCATCTGTATTCCACCACTTTGATGGAAGATATTTTGCTGACAGTTGCTACAATTCACTACTCTATGTGTTCACTTTGATCCACCAGAATTTACTGGACGTTGGAATTTGCGCAACAGAGAACAGCTCAGGAAGAGAAAAGCGGAAGCCCAAGAGCAGCAGACTTCACAACTGCAACTCAGGTATGGCATGGCGACAGGCTGGGGGAAAAAGAACTGGTACTTCTGGAGCCTGTGCTCAATGCCCAGAGGACCTGAAAGTTTTCACTTGCTCAATAGTATCTTTCCAACGTTCCCATACTAGGGCTAATCGACTTATTTGAAGAAAAGAAAGGAAGCCAAGCCCCCAAAGGGTTAAATTTGTCTAATGCCAGAGAGCTAGTGTAGGAAAAGAATGTATCTGTGGTCTCATTCAAGAATGCACCAAGCAATGAGATTACATTGCTGTAGCCTAGTGTTCAGCTGCTCCAGGCTTTAGTAACCTATACTTGGAGGCATCTTGTTGAAAGTGGGAAGCACCACTGAGGAAATCTCTGGGTTTATTCTCCCAGTTTGATAAGGAATTTCTCCCAGGAAATGCCTTATCCAATAAATCATGAACTCTCAGTGGAGTAAACTCAAGTGTTGACTAAACCAGTGATGGAGAGTGTGGGAGCACCTCAGTCTCCAGTCCAGGTCACGTGGCCATTTGTCATCTCAGAGCTGGAGCACTGGTGCACTGGCCAGCTATGCAGGGTGGGCCTGCACCCATCTGCAATGAGCCTATGAGAGCAGAGGGAGGGGCTGCGTGCTTGGAGATGAAAGGGGGCAGGGGTGGCCGTGTTGGCAGGACAAAGCAAACAGTACACCAGCCACTCAGTCAGGTTTCTCAGCCTGAATACTATAGGCCAGGAGAATTCCTTTTTGTGTGGGAGGCTGTCCTGTGCATAGCAGATAGCAGCATCACTGGTCTTCCCAAACCAAGAATAAAACCCTTCTCCTCCACTAGGATGAGAACCAGAATTGCATACAGGAATTCTCAGATGTTCTACTCACTGCTCTTAAAGAATCACTAAACACACTTTATCTTTTTTTTTTTTTTAGCTTTTGGGCCATACCCTGTGGTGTTCAGGACTTACTCCTGGCTCCATGATTAGGGATCACTCCTGGCAGAGTTTAGGGTAGACCATGTGAGGTGTGAGATAGAACCTAGGTCAGCTTTAAGGCTGCATTATCTCTCTGGCCCCTGAACAAATTTTTTCATTTTTTGGCCACACCCTGAAATGCTCTAGTTACTCCTCGCTCTACACTCAGGGGTCACTCCTAGGGGTTCTCAGGGGACCATATGGGGTGCTAGGGATTGAACCCAGGTCAGTTGCTGCAAGGCAAGCGCCCTATCCATTGTACTATAGCTCCATTCCCCCCCCCCCAAAAAAAAAAACCACTCCTTAAGGTTATAGAGGCCTGCATCTATCTTCCAGGAATGGACAACTGTCTCTTCTGCCACAAGGGATTTTTCAATGAGCTCACATATAGTTGGTAAATAGGAGTGGATGTCTGTGTAATGAGAAAGTTGTATTGATATATGATTTTTCTTAGTTCAAAGGAGTCAAAATAATGGCGATGAAATAAATAAGGCTTCAGTTTGGCTGATGTGGGTAGTTCACAGAGCCTGAATTTGGGGTTCACTCCCAGGGAAGAACCCCCACCTTGCACAGCCCCCCACTGGGTCTGGTATGTCTGGTAGGCTTCTAGGCTCTCAGCGCTGCCCTTATTTGCATGGAACCATGGACTGCAGGCTGGTGTTGAACCAATGCTTCTCAGCATTTTACTGACCGTCACAATCTCAAGCTATATGAAACTGCCTGTCTGGATTATCCAAGCGGTGGCCTTCCTGACTAATGCTCATTTTTGTTAATGTTAAAAAGTTGCATGGGATTTAAGTCATTTGGCCAAGCTCTATTCCCTCCCCCATCTCAACTATTTTTAGAGGATTTTGCAAAAGATGAGGTTTTTCAAGAATGTAAATGTCACCTTTATAACTGAAATGTCTATGCTCTGGCCCTACAGCAAGTGATGTTGTAGAATATAATCCAAATTGCTCCCCTAGTTTGTTTTTGGTCTCACTGGAGATGTTTAGGGGTTTTTCCTAGCTTTGCACTCAGGAATCACTCCTGGTGGTGCTTGGGGGACCATATGGGATGCCAGGGATTGAGCCCGGGTTGGCCACTTGCAAGGCAAATGTCCTACCCACTGTACTATCGCTCTGGTCTACTCTCCTAGTTTTATTCAATAGCTTCCAACCATTGCTTGGTTTCTCTCGTGCTAGCATGGATAAGGAAGAGAGCACTCACTTGTCTCTGTGGGGATCCTTTGCATTTCTAACTCCACTTAAAGATTGGCCTTTTGGCTCACAGATAAGTTTCTGAGCTGGTGGATAGACTTTGCCCAGGGAATGTGGGGCAAGTCTAATAGTGCCAGTAGGACTGTGTCTCTTGAGCTTTCTGTGCAGGACACCACAACTATGGAAGACACAGAAACAGATGACATGCTCCTGAGTCTTGGCCACAGGTTGGTCTTGCTCTGGTGACATGAGAGAAATGTACTATTGAGGGCCATTTTCACTGTGCCACTCCACAAAGTGCAACCACAGACCTTTCCCAGAGAAACAGCAGAATGTACTATGGAAGCCAAAATGGCAACCTGGGAAGCCTGGATCCGTACTATCCGGCCATTGGGGCTAACCCCACCATCCTCCACTTTTGTAAAGGACAAGGACATATAAATTGATGTTAGGATTTCATGAGAAAGCAGAATAAGTAAATGTCACAGAGGAAACACTGTATTTTATTTTCTTTTCTGGATGGGGAGCTTTTTGAATCATATCTGGTGATGCTCAGGGGTTACTCCTGGTTCTGCACTCAGAAATTGCTCCTGGTGGTGCTTGGGGGACCACATAGGATGGCGGGGATTGAACCTGTGTCAGCTGCATGAAAGGTAAAAGTCCTTCCCACTGTACTACCGCTCTGGTACCCCCCCTTTTTTTGATAGAAAAAGTTTGGTTTATTATATTAGCTTTTACTTATGTGTTTTAGCATTTTTTTTGTGGGGGGACATACTTTGCAGTGCTCAGGGATCACTCCTGGTGGTGCCTGGGGGACCACATGTGGTGCCAGGGATCCAACACAGGTTGATTGTGTGCAAGGCAAATGCCCTATCTGCTCTACTATGGCTTCAGCCAGTATTTTAATAGAGTTAAAATGATGTGTTACGAACATTGAATTGTAAAACAGAAATTAAGATAATCCACAATTGTACAATTTCAAGAAATAAAATTCCCTTCATATTCTCAGAAAATATTTCAATCCTACTCTAACTTCATACCTACAGTACACCTGTCCACTACACTTATCTTTCTATCATTTTTCCTTTTCCCGCTATTTTTATTAAGATACCATGATTTAAAGTACTGTTAATCATACTTTTCATGCACACATCATTTTAACACAACACCTATCACCAGAGAGTTCATTTCCCTCCACTGGTGAAGCGCCCCCCCCCGAGGCTTCTTCCCTTGTATGTTCAGTTCTATGGACAAAATCTCCAGTTCCAATGACTTGGCCAGTTATTCACTTATGTTTCTTTTTTAATCCACACAGGATATCTTTTTAAAATTTACTATTTATCACTGTATTATTGTTCCAACCCCTATATACAATTCTTATAACAACCATGAGGCTGGGGAAATACTTTTTAAGTTAGCTATAAAAGAATCAAGGCATAGAGTGTTTAAGGGAATTACTCACAATCACACAGTTGCTAAGTGACACAGTACAGATTAAATTTTAGGTCATCTATATATATTTCTATCTTTTGAAAAACCAACAGGTAGAACATGGGGCATTTTATTGGATTCCCTCATATAGAGATCTATGTAACACAATATTTAGATCTACTGAGTGTAATAAATGTTTTCCAAAGAATTCACCATATAGGCTGGAGAGATAGTACCAGGGTAGGGAGTTTTCCTTGCACATGGCTGGGCTCGGGTTCAATCCCCGGCATCTTATATGGTCCCCCAAGCACCACCAGGAGTAATTCCTGAATGCAGAGCCAGGAAGTAACCCCTGACCACTGCTGGGTGTAATCCCCCCAAAAAGGCCCCCCCAAAAAAGTGAGAGAAGAATTTACATTATCTTCTAAAATGTATAAATAGGGGTTAGATAGATGCACAGTGGGCAAGGCACTTTACTTGCCTGCGCCTGTTCTAGGTTCAATTCTCAGCATCCCATATGGTCCCTCCAGCACTGCCAGGAGTAATTCCTGAATGCAGAGCCAGGAGTAAGCCCTGAGCATCACTGGGTATGACTCCAAAACAAAACAAAGTGTAAACAGGTCTGGAAAGTAAAGTGGGTAAGATGCTTTTCTTGCACACAGCTGACCATTGTTCGGAACACTGACACTGCATATAATCTCCCCTGAATACTACCAAGAGTAATTTCTGAGTACAGAGCCAGGAATAAGCCCTGAGAACTGCTGAGAGTGGTCCCAAAACAACAACAACAACAACAAATTTAAAAATTATATAACAAAAACTTTAAAATTTATCTTGTTACCCTGGTTACTTGGAATTATACTTCAGAGTGCTGAGGTCCACAAGCATCATTTTGGATTATTTCATTTGTCTTCTGCATTATTTTAATATTTATTTGAGCTTTCCTATGGCATACAGACATATCCTTATTTCTATCGACTAAATTGATTCTAGTGAGACAATCTTTAAAAAATATGAATATTTTCAAACAAAACAAAGGTAGAATAGGGAGTACACGCTTGTTTATGGGTCACTCTGCAGGACTGGGAGCTCCTTCTGGCTCAGTGCCTGGGCCTGATGTTGGTCTCCCACAGACAAAGCCATACCAGCCAGTGGGGCTCACTGCCAGCTTAGGGATTACACTTTTTAATTTTTGAGGAACTATGAGTACAGAAAAGAGATAGGGAACTGTTCTTGTTATCTCCAGATAGCTTACTGAAAAAATAAGTTTCCTTCAAAATAGAGAGTCAGCAGCCCATGTGCCTTGCCTTCAGCCTGATCTTCGTAATAAATCCTCGAGGAGTTTTAGCAGGACCGCAATTCCGCCTTTGAGTGTATCAGAGGAGGCTCCCAATGCAGCGAGTGGTTCAGAATTTCAATGGGTTTAGAAAAGTGATGCAATGCTTATTTATAGCACCTTTTTCTCCCTCCCAGCCCATCTGTATTAGCCATCTGTATTTGGTTATATTTGCAGTACCTAACAATTTGTCATTGGCTGTGGTTTCTGTACATATTCTTTCATCTAGATCTTCAGTCTAGCCATTCGTTCCAAGGAAGTAGAACACGGACACTTGGCCTTTCCACTAGCCTCTCACTCCAGCAGTGTTTTTGCAGATTTGCCTCGGCTCCCAGTACATCTCATCTGACGTGTACTGCAGCTACTTGGCATTCGTTCCACCAGATCCTGTGTGAGCTAAGCAAGCCGTCTGCATCACGGTCCTGCTGGCTGCCCAGACCCAGAGCCATGCCTAGACTGCAGATTTACGAACACAAATGTGTCTCTTTGCCAGAGCACAGGGAGGCTGACTCATATCAGATTCATACCAAACCTGTATATGAATCAGAACCCCAATCATTTATGAGATCAGTGATGTTTTTCATAGGCAACCTTGAAGCAGGTATCTTATCTCTTCCATGTGAACTACAAAGAACGTTCCTGGTGAGCAAGGCTTTAGAGACAAAAAGTCCCTGAAGAATACTTGTTTTCCCTGGATGACTGCAAGCATCTCAGATGGCTTCATTGCACAAATAGAGGCAGCCCAGAGAGATGAAGCATTTTTTTCCAGGTTGTACAAATAAGGCAAAGGAGGCCTGAGACTGTTATTACTAGCATTTATTTGAATTCTGTTGCCCATTACTAACACTAATTCTCATCTCTCCACAGAGGGCAGAAAAAATGCAAGCGGCAGAAAACTGGAAAGGAAAATGAAAGAAGAGGAAGAAAGAAACAAAATACAGAACCAAAGGTGGTGCTGGAGTCACCACTAAAGGAGAAGGTTGAGAAAGCAGCAGCACGTACACAGAGAGAAACTGAGTCACCTATGGATGTCGCTGAAGCCCCTGTTCCAGTACCACCTCCCCCAGAAGCTGTGCCTGAGAAATATTCGACTGAAGTAGGCCAAGAAAGCATTACATGCCAGGAAGATTCTTCTGAGAACCGAGAAATAGTGGTGCAAAACCAGCCTTCTAAAACTTGCCAAGATCTGGCTGAATCCGAGGACCTAGCTCCTAAAATGTGTCAAGAAATACCTGTACCTCAAGACCCGCCTTTCAAAATGTGCCATGACACAGCTAAACCTGAAGATCTCTCTCCACAAGCGTGCCAAGACGTAGATATATCCAAGGCCCCTCTTCCTGAAACATCTGAAGATGTTCAAGATGTAGAGAGATGCGTTGTTGAGACATGCCCTGACCTATATGTAGCTGAAGGCTGCCATCCTGACTTACAGCAAGAAAGAGTTGAACCTGAGGAGTGGAATGTTGAGCAGGATCAGGAACTAGCTGAGACAGCACGCTACTTCCCAAACACACAACCAGAAATAGCTGTGCCTAATGACCTCTCTAGAAAAGCCTACGCAGAACCTGATCTACCCGAATGCTCTTCTCACAAAATGTACCAGGAAACTTCTGGACCTCAGTCCCTCTCTGATAGAACAATCCAAGAAACACCCAAGACTGAAGAATATGCACTTGAAATAGATCAAGAAACACCTGGGCCTGAAGATTGTGCCCTTGAAATGTACCAGGTAACACCTAGGCCTGAAGTCTATGCCCCTGAAAAGTACCAAGAAACACATGGGCCTGAAAATTGTGCCTCTGAAATATACCAAGAAACACCTGGGCTTGAAGTCTGTGCTCCTGAAATGTACCAGGAGGCACCTGGGCCTGCAGTCTGTGCCCCTGAAATGTACAGGGAAAAATCTGGGCCTGAAGTCCGTGCCCCTGAAATGTATCATGAAACATCAGGACCTGAATATGGCTCCCCTGAACTATATCAAGAAACACCTGGACCTGAAGATCTTTCTACTAAAGCATATACACATCAGGATGTGCCTACTGAATGCTTTCCGGAAGCAAACCAAGAAACAGGTAGGCTGGAGGCCAAGACCCTAACACATAGGAGGAGAAAATCTAAGATTCTTTATGCTTTCACAGGGTAGCTGCTGTTTACTGGGGATAAGTCAGTGTCTTGGGACCTGATGCTCCCTACAGGTGCACAGACACAAGTGAAGCCCCACAGAAGGCGAGCTGTAGCTTTCTTTGACTATCCCAAATTATCACCCAGGTACCTACATGGGTTTGATGCCACTGATGTCCTTAGTTAGATTCAGATGCTGTCATTGTCCCTGTCCTCCTGTTGTTCATCAATTTGCTTGAGCGGGCCCAGTAACGTCTCCATTGTGAGACCTGTTGTTACTGTGTTTGGCATATCGAATACGTCACGGTAGCTTGCCAGGCTTTGCCGTGCGGGCGAGATACTCTCGGTAGCTTGCTGGGCTCTCCGAGAGGGATGCAGGAATCAAACCTGGGTCGGCTGAGTGCAAGGCAAATGCCCTACCCGCTGTGCTATCGCTCCAGCCCAGAATTAAAAAAAAAAAGTCTTTCAATCAATGGCTATCTTGGCACATTTCCAAAATAATAAAAGAAAATAAAAACCCAAGTGTAAACAGTAGAAACTTGTACATACTTATCCATTTGGGGAAGTCTAGTAGTGAAGAAAAGTGGACCAAATATACCAGTAAACACCTGGACCTGAAGACCTTTCTACTAAAGCATATACACATCAGGATGAAAAATGTACAAAATATTTTAAAGGATAATTAAGCTTTGTTTTTTTTTACTTTTTGGGTCACATGCAGTGATGTTCAGGGGTTACTCCTGGCTCTGCATTGAGGAATCACTCCTGGCAGTGCTGGGGGGGCCATATGGAATGCCAGGAATTGAACCCTGGTCAGCCGCGTACAAGGCAAACGCCCTACCCGCTGTACTATGGCTCCGGCCCCTGGTCAGTTAAGTCTTGATTAACAAGAAATTTTCATAAATGAGGTTTTTCTTGAAAATTAAAGTTTCCTGGTGAACTAAAGGCAAATAAATTCACAGTACTGGGTACTGATGGAGACAATAAGATGCTAAATCTGATCCTGTAACTAAGGAACTTATTCTTGTAGGATTGACCAAAAATTCTTTAAATATTTGTTCCTGAAAAGTTTTCAGAAGCATACCAAAAACGTATGTTTATCTTTGACAATAGAATAGGCAGCATAAGAAATGGACTGAGAGACAGTACAGGGGTTTAAGGCACTTGTCATGCATGTAGACTACCTTAGTGTGATCCCTGGTACCACATATGGCACCCCAATGAGCACAGAGTCAGGAATAAGCTGGAGGAGTAAGTTGGTCACTAGGTATGACCCCAAAACCAAAACATATAAAACAAAACAGAAATCGGGCTGAATCTTTCAGACTATAGCCTTCAATAGGGGGCTGTTTTCTATTTCTTTCTCTCTCTTTTTTAGTTCGTTGCATTTATGTGGGGTGTTTTTTTTACTTTTTGTGCTGGGAGGGGGGGCGTTTGAGTCATAAACAGCAGTGTTCAGGGATTATTCCTTGTGGTACTGGGGGACCACATGTGGAGTCAGAAATCTAACGAGGGTTGGCTGCAAGCAAGCCAAAGACAAGGGCTTTCACCCTGTGCTCTCTCTCCAGCCCCTGGGGCACTGTTTCCTAAAGAAATCCCTTTGATGGTTTATTTAGTCTTTCTCCTGAAAGATGAGTATAACAAAAACATGGGGTCCAACTAATAAAGGTTTTAAAGAAGTATCTTTAATAAATGATAACGACAGGGCAGAGAGACAACTCCGCAGGCTGGAACACATGCTTTACATGCAGGAGACCCAAGTTCCAGTCCCAAAACAGCTCCACGTGCTTATATGGGAGAAGCCTACTCCCCACTGCTCAGACTCCCTCTAACCCTTAACAACAATGAGATTACAGTGGATCACAGACCTTTGGCGCTAGTAAGTCATTGGCAGAGCACTTGCCTCACGTGTGTCAGGCTCTAGATATATATAACATGCATTCACACATGCACGCTCATGCAGTCTGAGAAGTACTACTTGTACTCAGAGGAATATCCCACTGGAAAAGCAGTTGTAATCATTACAGAGATCTTATTCTAAGGTTTACATCTGAATCCATTCACCAGGGTTAATATGGGCAATGAATTAATCTCTCTCTCTCTCTCTCTCTCTCTCTCTTTTGCTTTTTGGTCTATACCCAGAGATGCTCAGGGGTTACTCCTGGCTCCGCACTCAGGAACTACTACTGGCAGTACTCAGGAAGTCAGGAATTGAACTTGGGGTCAGCCACATGCAAGACAAATGCCCTAACCCCACTGTACTATAGCTCCAGCCCTTAGTGTCTATTTTGTTCTCAATTTTGTTTTGCCAAACAAAAGGAAATACCTACCTTTTGCTTATTATAAAATAGTGTGATGTATAAATATAATATAAAATATTATCATGAATTAAAACAGAATGTAAGTTAAGTATAGAATAAAAATTCCTCTGTAATGATGTCTCCTATCCAGTGCTAAGGTTTTTTTTTTCTTTTTTAACAAATGAGAATAGTTATTTTCAGTTCTTAACCTAATTTTTCCCACATACAATCTAGATTGTGCCCATCTTAAAATGACACCTTTTGACACCATTCTGCAATACTGTGTTTTGAGGAGATTCATTTATTTAGCTAGTTTATGTATAATGAACGTTAAGGTTATTGTCAAGTTTCAAAGTTTTAATATTTTATTTTTGTTTTGTTTTGGTTTTGGGGACACAACTGGTGTTGCTCAGGGCTTATTCCTGACTCTATTCTTAGGGATAACTCCTGATGGGCTTGGGAGATCATATCCGGTTCTGGGGATGGAACCTGGGTTGACTATGTGTAAGGCAAGTGCCCGCTCTGTTGTACTATCACCCCAGCACCCAAGTTTTATATTTAACAGTGTACCATAAGCATACTGGAAATAACAGTTACTTAATGAGCCTGGTATTTCCTATATGCTAGATACTGTATTAAAACTTTTGTATAATTATTCTAGTCAATTTTTAAAAAACTACTGGGAAGGTAATTATTATGCCTATTTTATAAATAAGAAAAGTGGGATACTGGAAACTTGTTTGATGATTTTCTTTGGATAAACCCTGGTGAATTGAAATGGTGGCATTAAAAATAGATACATTTACAGAATACTTGACTGCAAAAAGTATTTTGGGGACCGGAGAGAGAGCTCCGTGGGCTGGATGCATGCCCTACATGCAAGAGACCCAGGCTCAAGCCCTCAAATTTTCCAGGAGTGACCCCCCAGGTCAGAACCAGGAATCCCTGAGCACCGCTCAGTGATCCTCCTCCCTTTTTTTGGTTGTTATTTTATAAATACTGTACATAAGCACAATTTTTTAAAAAATCTTGGTTCTGGGAGAAATTTGGGGGCAGGCACACAGGCCTTGCATGTTCAAAGTCAAGTTCAATTCTGGCACTACATAGTAGTGCTCACTAATACATAAGCACTGCCAGGTATAGCTCTGGAGAACCCCCAACACCGGGCCCAAACATTAAACCACCTGCCTTAGTTATAGCCCTTGATCCCCTGAGCACTGCTTAGGAGCAATCCCTTACTAACAAATCTTTGCTAAAATTAAACAAAACTCTTTTTGAGGCCAAAGTGGTAATACAGTGGGTAGAGCATTTGTCTTGCACATAGTCAATTCATATTCAATCCCTTGGCACCACATATGGTCCTGTAAGCCTGCCAGGAGTGATCTCTGAGTAGAAAGTCCTGAGCACCACCAGGTATGACCCCAAAACCAAATTAATTAAATAAAAATTTAAGTTTTATTTTGTTTATTTAGCTATTAATTTTTGTGGTGCTGGAGGCTGAATCCACAGCTTTATGTTTGCAAATCTCTACCACTAAGCCCCAGGCCTTCTAATTGCTGGAATTTTTACATTTTGATGACTTAGCATCTTTTCACGATTATTATGACCACCTTAAATCAATCTTCTCTTTGGTTTTTTTGGGCCCCACCCAGTTGGGTCTGATGTCTAAGGGTTCCTCCCAGTCATGTTCAGGGAATTACTGGCTCTGGGCTGATGAACCTATGGCTCCTTCATGTAAATCTGCATCCCAACCCTTTAAGTCATCTCTTTGGTTCACTTGGATTTTTCTTTTAAGATTACCTAGTGAATGCTAGTTCCTTATTTTTTTTTCTTTTAGGGTCACACACAGCAATGCTAAGGGATTACTCCTGGCTCTGTACTCAGGAGTTACTGCTGGCAGTGCTTGGGGGACCATATGGGATGCTGGGGATTGAACCTGGGTCGGCCACGTGCAAGGCAAACACCCTACAAGCTGTACTATCACTCTGGCCCCTAGTTCCTTATTAATTTTTTTTTCATTTTGGATCATACTGGGCCATGCACAGGGGTTACTCCTGGCTCTGCACATTACTTCTGGCAGTGCTCGGGGAACCATACGGGATGCTGGGAATCGAACCTCGGAAAAAGTCCTACTGTTGTGCTATTACTCCAGCCCCAGTTCCTTAATTTTTTACAGTTGCTTTGATTGAATCTAGGGCAAGTGCTCTACCTCTGGGTTCCATCTCCAGTCCTTCTCAATTCCATTTTTAATTTAAAATATCTATTTTGATTGATTGAATATATATTTAGTTTTTAGACCATTAACTATATGTTAGTTATATTTTTCCATTTGTTTATGGTTTAACTTTGTTTTTGTCATATAGAATTAAAAATTTTAGGTATTCAAGCTTGTCAAACTTTTCCTTTATGGTTTTTGGTCTATGTTTTGCTTAGAAAGGCCTTTATCATTCTAAAGTTTTTTTTTTTTTTTTGGTCACACCTGGCGATGCACAGGGGTCACTCCTGGCTCTGCACTCAAGAATTACCCCTGGCAGTGCTCAGGGGACCATATGGGATGCTGGGAATCAAACCTGGGTCAGCCGCGTGCAAGGCAAGTGCCTTACCTGCTGTGCTACGCTCTAATCCCCATTCTAAGGTTTTTAAGAAAAATCTAACATTTCTACAATACTTATGAGATGTTACTGTGTAAGTCTTCAATTAATACAAAATTTGTTTTTGTGTCATGAGTGAGTCAATGGGTTCTTTTGTTGTTTTGTTTTGCGGCCACACCCATCAGTGTGGTTGGAGGTTATTCTCTGTTCAGTGCTTTGGGATCACTCCTGGCCATGCTCACTTCTAGATGTGCTTTGGGTATCACACAGGCCAGGAATCAAACCCAGGGTCTCACACATACAAGGCATGAGTTTACTACCGTGAGTTAGGGTTTTCTTTTCAACGGGCAATTGTTTCCAGCACCATTTATTGAATTTATTATTTTATCTTATCTTTCAGAAATAAAAGAAAAACCCAAAGCTGAAGACTCAGAGACATCAGCAAGTCCAAACGCTCCTCAAGAATCTCATCCAGAACAAGACATCTTTAGTTATGTTTTGTTTTAGCAATGTTCAACCATCTTAGCTTAAAACACACCTACATATGTGATATGCGTGATATTCTTAGAAGTATTGTAGAACTAGGGCAAGGAAATGGCTCAAAGAGCTGTAGTGCATGCTTTTTGTGTGGGAGATTAGGGTTCAGTGGCCAGCACCAAATGGTCCTCCAAGTTCTGCCATGACCCCCAATTAATGAGCTGAGTATAGCCCCTGAGAATGGCTCAGTGTGGCCCCCCCACCAAAAAAAAACAAGCTATACATTAGAAGTATTGACCATATTCATTGACATTTAATTTTAGCCATTTTTTTCTCCATTTAGAGGCCAGCAAGGAAGACCAACACATTTCTTTCTGACTTTACCAATATCCTGATAGTTGTGTGTGTGTGTGTGAGTGTATTTATATGTATGTGCACATATGTTAGAGTGAGGATAGTGATGGGAAGAGAAGAGAACGAAGAGAAGGTGGCGCCAGGGGGCAGCTTGGAAGTAGAGTTTCTTTTTGTTTGGGATCCCTGGTGCCATAACAAAGAGTGTGATTGCTAGTAGAGCACTGCTAAGATGTGCTAAGGGCTGAGGATGGAACTCAGCAGATGACATTTGCCTTGCATGTATGGGAACCTGGGTTGGATTCCCAGCATCACCAAAAGACCAACTCCCTCAAAAAAAAAGAAAAAAAAACACCCCAAAATTTATTTTTTTTCGGAGATGTTGCTGAATGGCTGTTCCAGGCTGTGGGGCGGGTAAGAGCCCTCTCCAGTCCAAGGGACCCAGCCTCAGCAGCCAATCTCCACAACCCAAGCACCACCACGCTCCAGGCCACTTTCTGGACTGCAAAGTGGCTGGTGACACATTATAAGGTACTTCCTACCCATTTTCCACAATTACTACACCATATCTGATGGGGCTCAGACAGTAGGCTACAAATCATAGGGAAAAATATATAAATATATGCCTCTTGGAGAGCCCGGCAAGCTACTAAGAGTATCCCGCCTGCATGGGCAAGCTCCCTGTGGGGTATTTGATATGCCAAATACAGTAAAGACAACAGGTCTCATCCCCTGACCCTGAAAGAGCCACCAATCATTGGGAAAAGGCAAGTAAGAAGAGGCTGCTAAAATCTCACGGCTGGGAGGTATAGAGACGTTACTGGCGCCCGCTCGAGTCATTCGATGATCAACGGGATGACAGTGATACAGTTGCTGAATGACAGACTACATGCCTCACAGATGTGCAGGAGGGAGGGAGGGAGGAGGGGGGGGGGAAGAGAGAGAGAGAGAGAGAGAGAGCCACCAAATATATGTGAGCACTATAACCAAGTGGCCCAGACACCACAGCAGCAGCAACAACAGGGAGGAAATGGGGGAAAGAATTTGAGTCCATTAAAATAAATCATTTTTTTTTTGCAGTGCTGGGAATTGAAACCAGGGCCTGACACAAGGCAGGCACTCTACCACTGAATCACACCCACCACCCGAGGGAATAGAAAAGAAAGATCAGAAGGATACTGAATTGACTTTAGCTCCTATAAAACATCTCTTTAGGGTCCAGAGAGATAATGCAATGAGTAGGGTGCTTGCCTTGCAGGCAGCAAACCTGGGATCCACCCCCAGCATCCCTATCTGGTTCCCTGCTTCCTGACAGGAGTGATTCCTGAGTACAGAGACAGGAGTAAGTCCAAGTACTGCCAGGTCTGGCCCCAAAGCAAAACAAAATCAAACAAATTTAAAAAAATCTTCCCTGACTTATTTCATTATATATGTGTATATATATAATATGTACATAAAATATTTACATATATAATATTACACCCGGGGGACTGGGTGGGAGAGGGCTCAGGGTGCTGGGGATCAAGCTCGGACTAGGTCTTGCACATGTTGGGCATGTGCTCTGACTCTTGAAACAACTTCCTGGTCCTCCTTCGATTTTTTTCTATTAATTCTTAAGAGCAGAAAAGTGAAGAACAAACTTTTGAAACTGGAGAGTATAAGTTTCCTTGTAAATTGTGTTCACTTTTTTAATAATAGCACTAATATTTTATTCTAGCTTGAGTTGGCTTTTTTTTAATACAGCTAATTTTAACAATTCTTAGTCTGGGACTCCTTCAAAGATATTTTTGGGGTGGTGAGTGAAGTTTGTATATTTAAATTTTGATTTTATAATTTTAGGTTTTAACCATTGTATCTGTGCAAAATGTACATTAAATCATCATTGAATATTTGTCATTACATTGTGAATGAAGTGTGGTAAGCACTGTGGGAGTTAGAAGGTCTATAACACCTAGTCCTTGCCTACCAAAGCATTTAATCTTGTCCCCTGGGGGAATAAAACAAAACAAAATAAAAATAGCAAATGTCAATCCCATTTGCCTGGGAAAAATGAAGAGACTGTGTAGAGGTGAGGATCACAGCATTTTGGAAAGTCACAGAAAAGGGTGAATTCTAGACACATTCTGTATGCAAAGTGCATGCAACGCACAGATAATGTAGGGAGAGTACATGGGGAACAGGGCTAGTGAGCTGGAAATGCTTCTATTATTAGACTGAAGTTTGCATACCTAAGATGGTAGCTGACTGGAGCAATGAAGTAAGACTTGGATCCTGGAGTGGCGGGCTTTAGCACACTTATATATAATGGTGAGAATCAATCTAAAATGACATGAAAATACGGTAGAAGTATTAACTATGACGGGCAGGAAAATCTGGGATATGTGAGGGGCTGTCTTTAGTTTTACTTCTATTGTTATAGGTGGCTCAAAGGGTGTATTTTCACAAATAAAAGGCACAGGTGCACGTGCTCTCCATAGAGGTCTTACTCCTAGGTCTGAGGCTAGAGTAAAAAGCAAGATGGGGGGTCCTAGTCAGTCCTTAGGTGTGAAACAGTGGTTCTCACCCCTCATAGTGTATTAGAACCTCCAGGGAAGGTGTCAAAATTGCTGCTCACCAGGGGCTTCAAATTCATTTGTGGAGGGCAATACCTAGTCACAGATAAATTATTTTGTGTGTGTGTGTGCGTGTGTGTTTGTGTGTGTGTGTGTGTGTGTGTGTGTGTGTGTGTGTGTGTTGGGGGAGTCGGCCACACTCAGTGGTGCTCAGGGCTCCTTCAATTTTCATGTGAAGCTAGAGTTGAATGATTGAACCCCCAGGGCTCATCGAGTCTAGGAGTTGTACTTTTTTTTTCCCCTTTTTGGGTCATACCTGGCAATGCGCAGGGGTTAGTCCAGGCTCTGCACTCAGGAATTACTCCTGGCGGTGCTCAGGGGGCTGGGAATCGAACCCGGGTTGGCTGCGTGCAAGGTAAATGCCTTACCTGCTGTACTATCGCTTCAGTCCCATGTACTGTTTTTTGCCAGTCCATTTTCCTTCTTTAAAGTCTACATATAAGTGAAACCATCTGGTAATAGTAATTTATTTCACTTGGCTTAATCACCTAATTTCCATCCATTTTTATCCCAAATGGGGACAAAATTTGTTAATAGTAGCAGAGTTATATTCTATTGAGTCTAAAATGTCACTGCTTCTTTAGCCAGTTATCCATGGATAGACATTTAGGTTGTTTCCATGTTTTAGCTATTGTAAAAAGTGCTGCCATGAATATAGGGTTATAAATATCTTTGAAACACATTTTTATACTCTTTCCATAAATGTCTAAGAGTGGCATTTCTGGTTCTTATAGTATTTTCGTGGAAATATTTTTCACAGGGACCAAGCCCATAGGTGTGACAAGGGCCAGGGGCCACTCACATTAATGTAGGCCTGAATACCTGATGCTCAAGCCCCCAAATCCTCATGGGCCACCATGGCTATACCTAGTGGTGGTGGTGCTACTGGGCAGAGGGTGTGCATGTGGTGTCTGGGATACAACTCAGGCCTCACACATATAGGTATGTGCTGTATTGAGTCACATTGCCACCCTCTAAGACAGTTTTCGTTTTGATTTGAAACCTTGATGTTACAATTTAAGTTCTACATGACTCCTCGAATGTGTTGCCTTCCTTTCATGGTAAATGTATTCACTACTATTTGAAAAATCCATGAATCTATGATAGTGCATATAAAATAATCAGAAAAAAAGTCAAGCTGATTTTTCACACAGACCTTTCACCCAAATTAGACAGTGAATCATAGAACACATCCATAGAAATGTTTCTCAAAGTGTAGACTGATGATCACCTGCAAAAAACATTTAGTTTTTAGGGGTTTTTTTTGTTGTTTTTTTGCGGATCCCTAGATCTTACAGAAAGAGTTGTCTTATAAATCACAAGCCATCAAGAATTCTTGACAGAATAAAAACCTCAAATCATATAACTTAAAAGGTGCTACATAATTAAATAGCATGTAATTCTTTTCCATAAAGAGCAATCTTACCTTTAAAAGCATGGGGCTTACCTTTAAAAAAGATAGCACACAGCAGATAAAGGCACTTGCCTTGCACGCAGTGATGAGTACAATCTCCGTCACATATGGTCTCTTGAACCCAGCCTGAGCTATGGATCCTGTAAGCTCTCAAAACAACTGGGTGTGGCCTCAAAACAAAATTAAGTAAACAACTTCAGTTGTGGCTTGACCTGCTTTTTTTACATTCAACAAACAATATATTCTGAGCAGGAAAAGTGGGGAAAATATCATGTTTAAGGGGAACATTCTTCAGATTATTTACACACATACTCGTGTGTGTATGTAGCTGGGGCTACAAACCAGAGCCTTCCACATACAAGCTTTCTACCGAATATAGCACCAACTTCTCTTTGTCTTATTTCAAAATCATGGTTTTAATTTTTGCCATATACACTTTCACATACTTTTTAAAAGCTTTCGAATATTTCAGACTAAAATCTATCCCTTTAAGTGGTTAAAGTAACAATTCTGGGTGGACAAAAATAAATTCTTATATTACAGAAGGAATGGGAGATAGAAACCTAAAATCAGCCTCCAACTTCCACCTAGATCTGGCAAGGCAGGTAATGTGGATTAATTTTGTGGTTCAAGTGTAGAGTTGAGCACCATCTGAATGAACTTTAAGTTAACAATAAATTAAAATGTAGAAAATGGGTGGGGCTGGGAGCTGGCTCAGAGGACTGGAGATCATGCTTAGCATGCAGTTGATCCCTGGCACCACACAGTCCCTTGAGCACTGCCAAACAAGAAGCCTGGAGTCGTTTCTGAACAACCCTGTAGAAAAGAGTTTCATGTCACAGAAATTTTTAAATGGACACCTAGACAACAAACGGTAAACACTCAAGATATCAGCTGTGTGTCAACCAACATACAACTTGTACACAATGTTCCACATACATCAGTTTCCATGTGATGACCTGGACTTTTTGAAGAGGAAATACAAGCAGATTGATTCAAAGTAGTCTTATTAAGTGTATATCTTAGTTTATACTTTCTCTGGGATGAATATCTGAACAGAACAAGTATTTCTAGCTCATACACTAGCTTTTTACTGAATTTCAGGAATCCCTGGTTCTACTCAGATTTAGGCAAATGCCAGAAATAACTGTACTAAACATTATCGACTCAACAGATTATGAACACAATAATGCTGGGTAATGTTTCAATGCATGAACAGATAAAATCTCAAAAGACAATGGAAAACATTAAAAACATTACAAAATAATTTCAAACTTAAAAGTAGTAAATACAAATGAGTAAAGCCAATAGTTTCTATTTTTGGGTGGCCCACATCCCACTGTGTTCAGGGTTTACTCCTGACTCTGTGCTCAGGGATCACTTTTGGCAGGCTCAGGGGACCTAATAGGTTGCAAAGGATTGAACCTGGATCAGCTGCTTGCAAGGCAAGTGCCTTATCTGCTGTATTACCTCTCCAGCTCTGCCAACAGTTCCCATTTAGATATAATTTGTTTTGTTTTCTTAGGGGTTCACATCCTGCAGTGCTCAGGACTTTCTCCTAGCTCTGTGCTCATGTATCACTCCTGTCTAGTGCTTGTGGGATCAAACCTGAGTTGGCCATAGGAAAGGCAAATGTTAACCTCTGTATTATCTTTTAAGTCCCTTATACACAAATTTGACAAAATAAGAAAAAATACTCAGGAAAGCCACATTAAGTCCCAGGTTTAGCTAAGGCTAGCTCAACAGGCCGAGTATAGGCTTTGCAGTGGAATTCCAGATTGGATTACTAACACCACATTGTCTCCTGATCACCAAGCTGAAAGAGGCCCTGAGAACTACCAGAATGTAGTAGTGCTGCCCTTCCAGCCCCTAACCCTACAAAATTAAGTCTTGTATTTACTGCTTAAAGGGAATGCCCTTTAGGTGGGTCATCTTGAAGTCTGACTTAAAAATCTAAGTATGGTCCTGTCTTCCCTTAGTTTCACCTAAGAATAGTCTTCAAGGATCAGACTGCAAGTGGGGAAAATCCAGCTTTCGAAGTACTCTGCTGCTCACCTTCACCTGCACGCAGGTGACTGGCAGGCAGTCCACATCCCATTTCATTTGCGACTGAATGAACTTTTCTTTTTCTCTCTCTTACAGGACCTTTGCAAGTAGTCCTCAAGGACCTTGCAAGTACCTCCCCCCCCAAATACCTGGCCTACTGGTTCAATGCTCTTCTCTGCAATGTGATGCCTCTCCAGACCAGAGCAGGGTGAGGGCCTCCCAGGCAGTGCTCAGGGTCCATGAAGTGCCAGGGGCCAAACTTGGGGCCTCACAAAGCACGTGCTGCAGCCCCTTGAGTTATGTTCTCAGTCTGCTCTCATATATATGCATATATATATTTCTGGGGCATAGGGGACAGGCAGGAGATCCCAAACAGTGCTCTGAGGGCCTCATCTGCAACTTTTAGCTAATTGGGTCATTTTGTTTCAGCACTGGAGTTAGAGGGATACTTGGGCCCATCAGGGTTGTACCTGACAACGCTGGAGGTCCATATGGTGCTGGGAATTGAATCTGGATCAGGTCAAGTTCTGGTCCCCTAACCCTTGTCTCCCAGCTGTTCCTCTATCTTTTAATCCCACCACACCACCACAAAATGAAACTCTAATTCCACCTGGCTAATTCCCACAAGAGCAGAAATTGAGGCAAAATATACTCCCACTCATTAAAGACAAAATTACTTATTAACATGGTTAGTTTCCACAGGCTTAACTTGCTTTGGTCACCAGCATGGTTTGAATTGGCTCCCGTTGGTGGTAAACACAAGGCTTAGCATTTGGCGTAGAAGCCAAGTCAGATAAAAATAAACCCAGTTTTTATCTTTGACGATCCAAACTGTTTCTTCAAAACATCCTTGGCCTTTGAAAATGGAACACTTTGAGGGCTGGAAAGACGGTAGCGAGATTTAGGCCCCTTCCTTTCATAACGCTGCACTGGGGTTCAATTCCCCGTATTGCATTTGTTGCTTCCACCACCGCTTGGAGTGACCTCTGAGCACCGTTGGGTGTGGCTCCCACACCAAAACCAAATATACATAGCTAAGCCTGCGTCACTCCTCTTTCCTTCAGCGACTGTCACACTCCGTAACGAATGTTGTGCAGTGATCAGCGGATAAAGGCGCTGGAAGGGCAACAGCTGCTTCAATTGTTCCCCGCTGCACCGCCACCTGGTGGCGAGTGGGGGGCTCTGACGGGCCCGGCGGCGCGGCCCCGCACGGGAACAACTGTCGCGCTGCTGCAGCGCGCTTGGGCAAACAATGCTGCCATTGGCCCTGCGGCCTGGCCACCATCAGCCGCAATTCCCTCCAAAAAGCTGCATTTCCCTGCTCAAGTCTCGAGATCGCCTGCCTCCTCCCGGACAAATGAGATGTTCAGAGGACAGCTTCTCCTGCCACGTCCGGGTTGGCGCCTCAGCACCCAGGAGAGCCCCCGCCCTGAGCACCACCAGCGCCCCTGGGGGTACGCAGCCAGGTGTGGCCAAACCCATCCCCTCAGAAACAACCATGTCTGAGGAGAGACTTCTCTGGGGTGGGGGGGAGAGCTGGCTGTGAAGTGTGGGGATAGGAGAGGCTCTTATCCGTGCAGGGCTGACTGGCCACCAGGAACAATTTTTTTTTAAAGTTCTTCACAATAATCGTTTACATTGAATATTCCAACACCCATCCCACCCCCACCCAAGCCTGCCTCAAAGGCAGACCCTAAGTCATTGCTTTTGTATTGCTGGTTATCAAAAATCCACTAAGAATGATCCCAAAAGGTTTTCTCAGAGGAAAAGTAGTATTTTTTTTTTTTTACGTTTGGGCGCCCCTTTTCAAGTTACCCCCCCAGAAACAAATCAATTTCCCCTCCCCACTTTCCCACTCTCTGACCCGGGGCTGGGCCACTCGCATCTTTTTCCCCACAGGCTGTGAGGGCGGGGTGGGGGGACTGGCGGCTCGGCCACACGCTGACCCGGAGCGAGCGCGCCCGGCCACGGGGCCCCGCGCGGCGCATCCTTTGTCTCAGACGCGCGTCCCGCCTGTGGGCCACCGGCTGGGCGGTGCTCGTGGGCTCCCAGCCGCCCCCTCGCCGCGGTCCTCGTCCGGCAAGGGGACCGAGGCTAGTCTGGGTCGCCTCCCGGGTACGGAAACTTCCGAGCGGCCAAGGTCGGCAGCGGCAGCGGCAGCAGCCACGAGGCCCCGCCGCGCCCGCTGGGAAGACGCGGGCAAACACGGGCGCGGTGCGACTGCGCAGGCGCCGCAGCGGGAGGCCGGAAGCGGAAGTGCCGGACGCGCGCGCACGCCCGCGCGGGCCACTCTGGGACTCGTAGCCATGCGCGGCCTGGAGGCGGCCGGGCCTCGGCCCACAGCGACCCCCGGGTGTGGGTGTGTGAAGCCCGCGCTGGAGACAGGTAACGGCCGCGCCGAGCCGCCCTCGCCGCACAGCCGCCGGCCGCGCCGCATTACCGGGACGTGTGGCGCGAGACCGGGAAGCGCCGCGCGCCGGCTCCCGCTCAGTGCGCAGGCTCGGGTCACGTGCGCCTGCCACCACGTGACCTGGCCTGCAGAGTGACGTCACCGCGCGTGCCCGGCCAGGGCCTGAGGCTCGCACCCTAAGGGGAGCTGGACCGCGGACGGCTCCTGTTAGGCCAATTTGGGGGATGCATAAGTGCCACGGCTGGCGTGTGCCGTGCTAGGAAGTGAGGGAGAAAGGGAATGGGGTCGGGATGGTGGGTGGTAAATGGTTTTGAACTCAGCTGGGAATGGGGTGGAATCAGATTTTTCACGCCGTCATTTAGAGCAGAATATACCATTTTTATTTTACAATTGAAGTAATAGTTTAGGATATCGTCATAGGCTTTAGGTGTGCATCATTTTTAATTTGGCGGGCAGGTAGATTGGGAAGGGCCCCTCATGCAAGGAATTCCTGGGATGTAATAAAACCTGTAGCCCTAAGGCTGCAAAACCTCACCTACCTTATGGGCATTGGAACTAGACCTGATAAGATCTTTACCTGGTGCCAGCACAGACCAGAGAAGGCTGGACATTTCCTCTGAGAGAATCTCCAGTAGGAACCAAGTCCAGAAAAGGAATCTCAAAGAGGATACCGTCTATTCCCAATTCTGCCTCCTATGCAACCACCCTAGCCGTGGACTCTTATCTGGCTAGAAAGCCCCCTGGAAGGCAGATTGGCCGAAACCCTATGAAAGCCAACTTGCACCAAGGAAGCGCACACACACATACTGCCCTACCCCATCTACTGCCTGTGCCCATGTGTCTGCTTGAGTGCATGTGTCGCCTGCATCTCCCCTCTTAAGATGAATATTTTCATACTTTTATATCTGATGCTGGGATGTGTATTGGGACTCCCTCTCTGGAGATGTCCACTTTCTCTCGAGCTCTCTCCACCCTGAAGAAGTCCATGATTTTTCTTGAGCACACATTCTCTGTCTCTATCTCTGTCTCTCTCCCCTCCCACCCCCCAACTCCCTTCCTCAAAAACTAGTGACTGAAAACTGTTTTTTAACTTTACTGTTCATCGTCTCCTTTTTCTAAGAGAAAGGCGAAGAACTTGAAAGGCCCGGATAAGGTCTAGGACTGACTTTCATTTCCTGCAAGGAGCAAGGCTCGTAGCTGATTCTTATCAGCCCTAGATCTACCCAGCTGATCTCCTGGTGGCAGAGGTGAATAGAGAGAAAGCAGTAGATTCTTTTCTCGAGGCTGCTGCCTTTTTCCTTCCCACTTCATAGTCACCTGGGGACACCACCAGGGTCAATTTTAATCCAGATTCCTGCATGGCCAACCACTGAAAGCCCACTTCTGTTTTTCACCAAATACTGAACTCTTTATTTGTGTTTTTTTATTTTGGGGCATTCCTCAGGGGCTGTATCTGATTCTGTGGTCAGGAGTGATCCCCTGGTGTTACTTGGGGATATGTAATGCCCGGGATTCAGGTTTGGTCTCAGTGAAGGCAGTCTTACTCCATTGTACAATCTCCTTGACATGGAAAAGTAAACCCTTTAGACCTAAATTTCGCAGTCCAGTGTTAATTAGATTTAGAAATTAGAGGAAGCTAGTAGAAGAACAAATAGTGCCATCACCCAGAGAAAACCACTAGAGACTTGGTGACACCTTTTCTCCAGAGATCTGTCCTTAGTTCTATTAGTAAGCGGTCCCATAAACTCCCTTAAATCATTTGGTTCATATGTTCTGTTGCTTTCAAACGAAAAGAGTTTTTAAATTCCATACAACTGTTTCTCCACTCTTCATTTTCTGCCTTATATTTCACCCCGAGACAACCCAGATTGTTCCCTGAATACTGTGATGATTCTCATTAATTGGTGCACATTTCCCTCTAAATTTTTTTCTAATCCTGGTTAATGTCACAGACCAATCGTGATAGCATGGAATTTGAATTATAGGCCTAGAATTCTGCTTAAAGCTCCCTCTTTTCTACTCATTTTTCTACCCATACTCTTTCCAGCATATCATTTAAAGGGCTCTAACACTGTCTGTAATGGATGAAGATGTTCAATGCTCTTGTAGGGATCTTACTTTATAATTGCATAATACCTGCAAGATTTAAAAACTGAAATCAGTGCTTTAAAGAAGATATGCTTTCCTATGTCTTTGACCACTGAGTAATTATTTTTTATCTAATTTTCTTCTGTAGGGAATATATTAACTGAACCAATTGGCTACTTGGAATCCTGTTTCTCGGTCAAGAATGGTACTCCAAGGCAGCCGTCCATTTGTAGCCACTCACGGGCTTGCTTGAGAATTAGAAAGAGCATTTTTAATAATCCTGAACATTCCTTGATGGGATTAGAACAATTTTCTCATGTTTGGTAAGTTGTTTTATAGTTGGAAGGGGTGCTTTGGGCCGGAACTTCCTCTTGTTGGGGCTAGAGCAATAGTACAGCAAGTAGGGTGCTTGCCTTGCACGTGGGCCACCTAGGTTCAGTTCCTGGCACTGCGTATAGACCCCCAAGCCCACTGGAGTACACAGCCAGGATCACCTGGTTGTGGCCTCTTGTAAAGTATTCCACTTAAAGGTGGTCTTGGAATGTGCCACGCGGACTGCTCTTGGCTGTTGCTGGGAAGCTCCTCTGCTGCCTTCCTGCAGGCGATTGGTCGTCTGCATGACTCAGATACTTTCATGGATGCTTGGGAGCTGCAGAACCACTGATGAGGCATTTGTGGTCTTTCTAGGTGTGATAGAGTTTTTTCTGCCCTGTGTTCTGTCGATAGTCCCCATTCCCCCCTGTGAGTCATCAGTCTTTCCTCTGGCGCCATGGGAGTACAAGCAGCTGCTGGTGCATCGAATTACCCACCGCCTGTTTTCATAAACAAGTGTGTGGGAAGACAGCCGTGTCCATTTGTTTGTGTATATCCTGTGTTCTGACAGCAGAACTGGTTGGATTGTTACAACAGAGACTGGTCAGCCTGAAAACTCTTAAAATATTTACTGTCTTGATCTGTACAGACTCTGCCCGATAGCCTACAAGAATTAAGTCTGCTCTTTCGTTGTTGTTGTTGTTGGGCCACACCTGGTGATGCTCAGGGGTTCCTCTTGGCTCTGCAGTCAGGAATTACTCCTGGTGGTGCTTGGGGGACTATGTGAGATGCTGGGGATCAAACCCTGGTCGGTTCGATCGCAAATGCCCTAACTGTTGTATCTCTCTCTGGCCCCTTAAGTTTACTCTTTGAAAAAGACAAAGGAGGCAGAGAAGCTTTAGATAAGTTTTGCTCATTCAGGCCTTTGTGGCACTTCTGTTACTATTTCCTGAAGATCTCTGTTCATTCTTCTTTACCTCCAAATCTGCAGCCCGAATTCACTTAATTTTACTGGTGAGGACCTAAAAGTGCTTTCTAAAAGTTTATTACTAATGATTTCTTGGGGGAGGGAACTTGGGCAGAATAGAAAAATGCCGTACATGACTATTGCTCTTTGTAACTTAAAAAGTTTTTTCCTTTCTTGGCGTATGAGTTTCTTGATGTTCTGACCCAAGTTTATGTACTATTGAATTAAAGCATCGCTTTTATAAAGAATAAACTCAAAATTCTAGAAAGAGATCATGTGTTTTTTTTTTTTTTTTTGGAGGGGGTAGAAAGGGAGCCATACCTAGTAGTACTCAGGCCTTAACCCTGGCTCTGCACTCAGGAATCACTCCTGGCAGTGCTTAGGGGACCATATGGGATGCTGGGGATTGAATCCAGGTTGGCCTTGTGCAAGGCAAGTGCCCTAACTGCTGTACTATCTCTCTGGTCCACTGTTTGTTGTTGTTTTAGACCACACCTGATGCTGCTTAGGGGTTGCTCCTGGCTCTTTTCTCAGGGATCAAGCCTGGCAGGCCTCAGGGGATCATTGGGAAACCAGAAATCAAGCCCTGGGTCAGCCACATGCAGGGTAATCACCCTGCCTCCTGTCCTGTCGCTCTGGCCCATTTAACGTTTCTGAGGTTCAGTGTCTTCATCCTTAAAATGGAGTATGGCCTTGCTTTACATATGTGAAGCCTGAGTTCCATCCCTGGATCACATCCCCCACTCCCTCCCACCCCGACCCAAATGGGAGAAATTATACTTCTTGCAGTTGTGATGCTGATGAAATGCAGTATGTCTGTGAGTATCTAGCTGAGTGCTGAGTGAGGATGTGGCTTGCTGATAGAACATGGGCTTGTTTTACCGCCCAGTGTGCTCCCTGGCATAGAGAAGGTGCTTAGTAAACATTGTGCTTCATTCTTGCGACAAAGGCCTGTTGATTTCCTCCTGTTCATTACTGCTTGTCTTCAGAGATAAGCCGGTCTTCTTTGAGGAATGGGAATGGGGACCCTGCAAGCAGCTTATTTAGGTTCAATCCCCGGCACTGTATCGTTCCCTGGACTACGCCATGAGTTATTCCTGAGCACAGAGCCAGGAGTAGGTCCTGGGCACAGCCAGGAGTAACCCCAAAATAAGAAATTGGAATGGTATTACTTTTGGAGCGGGGAGACTAGGGGACACACCTGATGGTGCTCAGGGATTGCTCCTGCTCTGCACTCAGAAATTACTTCTGGTGGTGTTCAGGGAACCATATGGGATGTTGGAATCAGACTCTGGTCGGCCTCGTGCAAGGCAAACGCCCTACTCGCTATACTATTACTCCGCCCCAAATATTAACTCTTTTCTACTGATAGAAATTTTGATATTATTCAGGCCTTTTTTTCCCCTATTTGTAATGTTTGCAAAATAAAAAATGTCTTCATTTAAATCATTTTGATAGTCTGACTTATGCTTCCTGCCCCCTCACCCCCACCCCTCTCCACTCATTGGTTTTGTTTTTTTCAATAGGATTTTGTTTGTTTTTCACAAGAATGGTCATTTGAGCTGTAAGGCCAAAGTGCAGCCTCCTCGGCTGGATGGTGCAAAGACTGGAGTGTTTTCCACAAGGAGCCCCCATCGTCCCAACGCAATTGGACTGACTCTGGCCAGGCTGGAAAAGGTAGAAGGTAACCTGTTGCGTTTCTGGCCTTAGTGATTTTTATAAGGCTACCCACAAGTAGTCTTATAAAGTCTGCCTGCTATTTACCACTGGCTCTTACTCAGATTAGAACCTGTGCTGCAATTCGTTTAGACATAGAAGAAAATGAAACGAACAAAGGAATATTAGAAGGATGGTCGCATACAGGCACATTGAAACAAAGCTCTCTTGGGTGCTCAGAGTTAGTTTATATCATTGCATGTATTCAGAGGTATAAATTCCTTAATAATTTGAATTATTTTGTTTGTTTGGAGGCCTCACCAGACTGCTCAGGGCTTACGTCTTTTTTTTTTTTTTTATTGAATCATTGTGAGCTACACTTAAAAAGCATTCATATTTGAGTTTCAGTCATACAATGATCGAACACCCATCCCTTCACCAGTGTACATTTTCCATCACCAAAGTCCCCAGTGTCCCCTCCCCCCATTTCTGTGGCAATTTCCCTCTTTCTCTCTAATTATGGGCATTATGGTTTATAATACAGATAATGAGAGGGCATCATGTTTGGTCCTTTTCTTTCAGCACACATCTCCCATCCCGAGCAATCCCTCCAACCACCGTTGACTTAGTGATCCCTTCTCTATCCCAGCTGCCCTTTCTCCCAGCTCATAGACAGGCTTCCAGGCTTCCAACTGTAGAGCAATCTTCTTGGCCCTGTCTCTACAGAACCTGGGTGTTAGTCTCATATTATGATATTTTATATTCTACAAATGATGCACTCATTCTATGTCTGTCTCTCTTTGACTCATTTTGCTTAGCATGATATTATCCATGATCATCCACTGATAAGCAAATTTCATGACTTCAAGTTTCCCAATAGTTGCATAGTATTCCATTGTGCAGATGTACCAAAGTTTCTTTAACCACTCGTCTGTTCTTGGGCACTTGGATTTTTTCCAGATTCTGGCAGCAGTGTACAGAATTGGTATTGCTGGGTCATATGGAAGCTCATGTTCTAGTTTTTTTTTTTTTTTTTTGATCAGGGCTTACTTCTGTCTCCACTCAAAAATCATTCCTGGCAAAGCTTTGAGGACCATATGGGGTGTGGGGGATCAGATCTGGGTCAGCCATGTACAAGGCAAATGCCATACCCACTGTGCTATTACTCAGGCCCCCCCACCTCCTGAAAAATTGTTTTAAGTTCCTGTGGGCTTTCAAATGTAGCCCTTAGACTGTCCACATGTGGGACAGGAAGCACGGGCTACCACGGCAGCATTTTCCAGCAGCATTGAGTCGATAGGCTTGTGTTAAGGCCCAGTGCCGCTGACAATTCTGAACTTCTGCTGGACTGGAACTCCCTGTCTAAAACCCCACAAAGGCTTGAACCACAGGCTCATGTACAAACTGGCTCCTGAGCCAGGCCATACCGTTTTGGAAGCATCCCATTGCTTTACATTGAAATAAGCCATGTATTTGGAAGAACTCTTCTTGCTGCATTGTAATTTGCTGGGTTTTCCAGAATCCATCTGAACCAGATCACTTGAATCCGTCTGAGCCAGATCAGCATGATTTTTTGTTTGTCTGTTGGTTTTGAGAGTGGGTGGATGGGAGTTTGGCCACACCTGGCGATGCTCAGGAATCACTCCTGGCAGTGCTCAGGGAACCATTTGGGATGCCAGGGATTGAACCTGGGTTGCCTGCTTGCAAGGCAATCGCCGTGCATGCTGTACTATCACTCCAACCCCATAATCAGCATGTTTTGGCAGCAGATGGTGAAACAGCTCTTAGACTAGAAGTCAGGAGCTCAGTCCAGGCTCCAGTCTGCTTGTTGGTAGAGAGGGTGGAGGAGGAAGACCTACCTTTTCTGAGATACCACAGGAGTTTTATTTATTTATTTATTTATTTCAGTCTTATAAAAGAAACATTCTTTGAGTTCTTTTTGGATTATTGGGGGATAAATAGCTTAGAGCAGTTATTTGGCTTGCCCTTTCCCTGAACTCCCCTCGCTGCATTGTCATCAATTCAGTTTTCCAGAAAAGTACATCATCAATCCAGTTTGGAGTTTATCAATTTGTGATGGTGAACCAATAATCCTGGAACTTTTTTTTTTTTTTTTTTTTTGCTTTTTGGGTCACACCCAGCGATGCACAGGGGTTACTCCAGGCTCTGCACTCAGGAATTACCCCTGGCGGTACTCAGGGGACCATATGGGATGCTGGGCATCAAACCTTGGTCGGCCATGTGCAAGGCAAATGCCCTACCTGCTGAGCTATTGCTCCAGCCCCTAACCCTGGAACATTTTATGCTCACTTGTGCAGCCCACACATACCCGTTGAGCGCTGTGTGCCAGGCAGTGTTTTGGATGCTGGGGGTACAGCAGTTAAACGAACCGGTTTAAAAACCCCTGCCTTCATTGGGACTGGATCACTAGTACAGCAGGTAGGGCTCTTGCCTTGCACACAGCTAACCTGGGTTTGTTCCCTGGCATCTCATATGGTCCTTAAACACCTGCCAGGAGTGAGTCAGGAATAAGTACTGAGTACAACTGGGTGTGGTCCAAAACCGAACAAAAGAAACAGAACAAAACAGAAAGTCCCTGCCTTACAGAAGACCTGGGCATTCTAACAGGGGAGTCCAGGGGAATGGGGAAATGGCAAATGCATCACTCTTGCCATGCACTAAATAAACACTCTTTCAGATAATGGTTAGTGTTTGTATGATGCTTTATAGCAGTTTTTGATGGGTGTGGGAACTCGGGCTCTTGGATGTTAGAGCATTTGCCTAATGAAAGTCAGTCTGGGGCTGTCAGACTGCACGAGCTTTCGCCGTGCTGTGTTGTCTGTCCTTTAAACTCTCAGGCAGAGTTTACTCTTGGAGAGTCCAGAATCATCTCCCCACCCCAGAGCAGGCTCACTCAACGTAAGTGTATTTTAGACATTAAATACCTTTATTCATCATTTTTTCTTAGTTTGAGCCACATCCAGAGTGCTCAGACTATTCCTGTCTCTCTGCTAAGGAGTGACCCCTGGCGGTTGCTCAGGGAACCACAGGCAGTGCTGAAGATGGCGCTGGGGCTGCTTGGAAGCAGCTGATGCAGGAAGGCGAGAGTGCCTAATCTTCTGTGCTTCTGTACTAAATAACTGCCCCTAGTTATTTTTCTTAAGTGGAAACAGACTTGAGTGGGACCATGTGCAGTTTTTGAGTCTTAAGTCAAAGTTAGAAACTCTGCACCAGCAACAGGAGCCAAACAGTGGTGGTGGGAGGCAGTCTTGCCTGATGCTCTCTGCCTGTGGGGTGTTTAGTTTCTGTGCTGTGCAGAGCGTCACCATGCACTGGCTAGTTCCGACAGCACACGCTGTTCTGTCCAGGAGTTCGAACGAAGAGCTTCCCCAGGCCCTCTGCTAGCAGTCTCACCGAGGCTGACCTTCGGGGGCCGGCTGGAGTGAATCCTTCCCTGGCAGTCCTGCTTCTGAGTTCTCTCGGGCTTGGTAGAATTCCCTTCCTGGCAGTCATGGGAGTGAGGCCCCAGCACCTTGCTGCTCATGGCCACCTGCAGCTCCTTGCCCTTGCCCACAGTCCATGCAGCAGCGTGGCTGTACTCACTCCCTCACATGTGTGCACAGGCAGGCACACGGGAGCGCCCAGGTGATAGACAGCAGAGCTGTTGAGTGCCGTCACCCTGGCCTGAGAGGAGGGGCCGCCCACCCCTGGGGAAATGGGTCTCATGGGCTACCCCTGCACCCACTGGCTGCAGTGATGCCTTTGGTGGTGCCACAGAGATCCAGCAAGGACTCGAATGTGCCTGGAGCAGAGTGGGAAGGATGAGGCTGCCCTCTCCAGTGCTCCACGGGAGACGGAGAAGGGGCTCAGGCAGACCTTTCTGCTTAGTCGAGGGGACTGATGGGGGTCAGTAGGTAACTAGGTAAATGGGTAAGGAAGCTGTACGGGATAGGAGGGTTTCCAGGTGCCCGCATCCTGTGTAGGGGCCCGGCCTAGGGCACAGTTGTCAGTAAGCTGGAGAGACAGCAAGAACAGTTGTTGCCACTGTTCTTCATTGTTTGGTTCTTCTTTTATTTTTGTGGGGGAAGGTGTGTTTGGCCATATAGTGGTGCTTGAGGGACCATGCTGTGTTGGAGCCTGGGGCCCTCTCCCAGTCCCCCTCGTTCACATTCCCAAAAGGCTGTTTTTCCCATTGCAGATGGAGCCGTGTACCTGTCTGGGATCGACATGATTCATGGCACACCTGTCCTGGACATAAAGCCCTACATAGCAGACTATGACTCACCCCAAAGCTGCCCGACGGCACCTCTCGGGAGCACGAGCCCCCCGAAGCGCCAGCCCCATTTGGAAACTGTGCCCTGCTCTGAGGGCAGACTCTCAGCACTGTCTGGACTATGGCCCCACGATGGCCCTGAGGGGAGGCCGCAGTACCCAGAGGACGGGGCTGCAGGAGAGAAGGGCGGGAAGCCGAACGAGACAGCCTGTGCCCCGCAGCCCTCACCCCCAAGCTGGGAGGTGGCCGCAGAGCTGGGCTCCGAATCGGGACACGACTGGGGCCCGAGTGTGTCGGCAGAGCCAGCCGTGGAGCAGCCTGCTTCAGAGGAAGGCAGCGATGGCCAGGGGACAGGCTCCTGGGCCCCAGTGGGGATCAGAGCAGAGATGGCCCCCCGGGAACCAACCGGGGCAGCCCCGTGCAGCGCCGTGCCCGCCTGGGTGAGGGAGGCCCCCGTGGCTCCCTTGCAAGTTCGGTTCACGCCTCACGCAGAGATGCAACTCCGGGACCTTGGATCTGCAGGTGAGTGGGGGCCCCTGCCCGGGTGATGGGGCAGGCTCTTGGCGTCGCCGCGCACCCAGGAGCCCTTCATGAGCAGTTGGAAGGTACTGATCTCGGGCCCAGCTGTCAGCTGATATTGTTCACTCAGGAATCTTTTCCCGACCCTGTCACTACTGCTGGCTCTCCACCCCCCCAGGAAGGAGTGGGGGTTCCTCTTTGCCTGCGGCAGTCTATAGACGGCTGCCTGGCGCTGAGGGTGCTTGTTCTGTGCTCTAGCAGATAAGCTTTTACCATTGGTTTTGGACTACAGAGAGAGTCCATGTGCGGGCGGGGATGGGTTGGGGCTATGCCGGCTGCTACTTAAGGGGTGACCCCATGGAAAGGCTCAGGGAACCGGGTGCTGCCAGGGATCAAACCAGGACAGGCTGCTTGCCGGACGAGCACCTTCACTTCTGTTCTAAGTCTCCAGTCCTGATCCTAAGTGTCAGGTAGCTCATAGCATAACTTTTGGTACCGACAGCTCAAGGAATGAATCGTCCCAGGGTCCGGGCTCAGTAATCTAGTGGGTAGGGCAATTCGCTGTGCACGTGGTCCACCCAGGTTTTATCCCCAGTAGCCCATATGGTTCCCTGAGCCTGATGGGAGTGATTCCTGAGAGCCAGAAGTAAGCCCTGAGCACTGCAGAGTATGGCTCTAAAACAAACAAACTGCCCCCATGAATCCTGCACCTGAGACATCCCCTTCTCTGAAGACAGAAGGCCCCTTTGGCCATGTGGTTCTTAGCAGAGGTGCAGAGCCTGGTTGCTAGCCAATTTTTTTAGCCCCCAGCAGATGCCACGTAGCACGGTAGAGTGGAGGAAGGGGGGGTGTGTGCGGACACAGCGGTCTCATTAACACGCCCCCCTTTATCAAGGAGACATCAGATTTCTCCTGCCACTCAAGGGTTGTGCTGTTCGTATTTCCTCTGAGGGTGTCCGTTAGACCAAGCATATATTTTTATTTATTTCATTTATTTTTTTCTTTTTGGGTCACACCCAACGATGCTCAGGGGTTACTCCTGGCTCTGCACTCAGGAATCACTCCTGGAGGTGCTGGGGGACCTTAGGGGATGCTGGGAATCGAACCTGGGTTGGCCGCATGCAAGGCAAACCCCCTACCCACTGTGCTGTTGCTCCAGCCTCAAGCATGTATTTTTAACATTGCCTTTTAATTAGAAAAGTTAGGCTAACAGGGCTGGGGGACGGCTTGGTAGTAGAGCACATGCCTGACATTCGTGCGCAGCCGAGGGTTGACCCCCTAACACTGGATGACCGCTCCGCCGCCTCCCTTAGCACTGCCAGGGTAGCCTTGGTGCCTCCTAGCTCTGCCAGGCCTGAACATCGAACTGCCCAGTTAGCATCAGTGGGAGTGGCCTCTCTGGACGAAGTCTTGCTTAAGAAGATTCTTCCATCTCTGGCATCTGCGGGAGGAGGATTTCTGCTCTTAAGGGACTTAAAGTTTTTTGAGGGGGTGGAACCTCAAAGGGCTCCCCCGAGTATACTCCTCTTTTCCGGTTTGTCCTTTTTTCTGAAAGTTCTGTTTTGGAAACTACAGTGTGGTGTGTCTGAGATGTTATAATATGCCTTACTGATTTTTTAAATGAAGGTTAGAAATAGAAATTGTGAATTCAAACCATCAAACAGGAAGTTAAGAACAGAATTTAGAGACAGGACAGGAGCAAGAAACAGTTCATGAAATTCAATCCAGAGGGGCTGGAGTGATAGCACAGTGGGTAGGGTGTTTGCCTTGGATGTGGCCAACCCAGGTTCGATTCCCAGCACTCATATGGTCCCCTGAGCACTGCCAGGAGTAATTCCTGAGTGCAAAAGCCAGGAGTAACCCCTGTGCATCGCTGGGTTTTACCCAAAAAGCAAAAAAAAAAAAAAAAAAAAAATCTAGAAACAAGGAAAGATCCAAAACAAGGGATCCAAAATAAGGAGGAATTGGTGCTGGACAGGAACTGGAAGAAATGCTGTGGGCCCCGTGGGAGAGAAGGGTTCAGAAAGGGAGCAGAGAAGAGGCATTGGGCTGAGTCAGGAAACCATGCAGGCAGTGAAGCAAGCGAGCCTTTGCCACGTGAGCAGCCCCACGGAGTTTGGGAGCTTCTGCCAGACCTGCTACTGCCAATAGGGATGGTTGTGGAAAGGTTTTTATTCTTTGAGTCTTTAAAGTAATGCCTCAGGGACTGGAGCACTAGTACAGCGGATAGGGCGTTTGCCTTGCAACGAACTGACCCATGTTTGGTCCCCCGCGTCCCACATGGTCCCCCGAGCCCACCAGGACCGATTTCTGAGTGCCAAGCCAGGAGTAACCCCTGAGCAGTGCTGGGTGTGGCCCAAGAACAAAACCAACCGAACAAAATGCTTGAGTCATTTCTGAGCCTTGTAGGAAAGGAACCTTATTACTGCCTGCTCCCGCTTGACTGCTCTACTTCATGGCTGCACATTTGTGACCTGGGGCTCTTACCTGACACAGGACCCTCTGTCGGAAGGGCCCGCTCTCCCCCTGCTGCTGCCGGTGCTGGGAGCAGGGATACTGTTTGTGGCTCTGGGCTACCAGGAAGGGCCTGGCCCAGTCGCCAGGGTGTGTTAGTTAGGTTGTCACCTTTAAAAGCTAGGTCACAGCTGCTTTTTTATTTTTTGAATTTATTTTTCGGTTTCTAGGTCACACCCGGCTATGCTTAGGGATCACTTCTAGTGGTGCTCAGGGGATCAAAGTGGTGCTGGGGATCAAAGTAGGGTCAGCCACGTACAAGGTAAATGCCTTCACCCATGCTCTACAGTTTTGGTGACTGCGTTTAAAAATACAGTATTTTTTTTTTTATTATTAAGGTTAGAAAACATGAACGATGATTTAAATATGGGACGTTTGCCAGTGGGCAGGGTAAGCCTCTGTCCACTCTGAACCAGGCTCGGGGGTGTAGGGTCTCCCCATGTGCTGCCTGCTTGTCACTGTCCCCTGGGAAGGCCACATCGAGAAACTCCAAGTTCACACAGGGCATAGGAAAGTGAGATTTTGGTGATGAGAAAAGGAACATCGGGAGACGAAGGTAGACCACCGCGTGGTCTTCTGTTCAGCCCATGACATTCGGGGTGCGGGGGGCACAGCTCAGCCCTGGTGGCATCTCCGTGAGGACTCTGGCCCTCTTAGCAGCACGCATTGAGCCGGGTGCCGAGTGAGCGTGTGTCTCATTGCAGGTGGCGGGCCATCGCCCTTCAGGTACCTCCAGTCGGCGGCGGAGGCCCGGCAGGCCATCGAGGCAGTGTTGGCGGCCGACCCCAGGTCCGTGTATCGCCGGAAGCTGTGCCAGGACCGCCTCTTCTACTTCACCGTCGACACTGTGCACATCACCTGCTGGTTTGGCAACAACTTCGCCGAGGTACTCTGGATCCAGCCGGCTTCTGGGCCCGGTGGGGTGACTGGCCCTGGGGAGGCCGCAGAGGCCACAGTACCCTAGGAACTCAGCTTGGCTCTGGTGGCAACTGCAGGATTCCATGGCCTCGAGCACAAGGTGTCTGCTTCGCAGGAGGATGAGGCTCCTTGGGATTTCACGGCTTCGATTTATTGGGGTGGTTCAAACAGTGTATTTGAAAGCGGTATATTTTAATAAACTTCTGAGGTCTTAACCGCAGAGAAACTGTTGTATACCTTTGGCCTAGTCATAGCATAGCCAAGGCACTGCTGCCTTAAACTTCTTTTAGAATTTATTTTAAAATAAAAATGCAAACTTTTATTAAAAAGTATATAGACATTTTTTGAGAGGGAAGCTGGGAAGATAACACAGGTTTTTTGTTTTGCTTTCAAAATCTTTCATTTTTTTTCATAGATTTTTTTTTTATTGAATCACTGTGAAACCCTTACAAAACCTCATGATCAGGATTCAGTCATACAGTGTTCCAACACCCGTCCCTCCACCAGTGTACATGTCCCAGCACCAATGTCCCAGGTTTCTTCGCATCACCTCCCCACCACCAGCCTGCCTCTGTGGCAGGCACTCCCCCCGACCCCTCTCCTTTTGGGCATTGTGGTTTGCAATGCAGATACTGGAAGGTCATCATCTATATCCTTTTACCTACTTTTAGCACTCAGTTCTTGTCCAGTGTGATCATTTCCAACTATTATCATCATAGTGGGCTGGAGCGATAGCACAGCCGGCAGGGTGTTTGCTTTGCAAGTGGCCAACATGGCCGACCTGAGTTCGATTCCTCCACTCCTCTCGGAGAGCCCGGTAAGCTACCGAGAGTGTCTTGCCCGCATGGTAAAGCCTGGCAAGCTACCTGTGACATATTCGATATGCCAAACACAGTAACAATTGTCACAGTGGAGATGTTACTGGGCCCGCTTGAGCAAATCGATGAACAGGAGGACAGTGACAGTGACAGTGATCATCATAGTGGTCCCTTCTCTGTCCTAAATGCCCTCCTCCCCCACAAACTTGTGATAGACTCCAACCATTGTAGTACAGGGACTTGGGGCTGTGCCTGCACCCAACCCCAGCTCCATGCCTGGCACCTCAAGACCCCCAGCCTTGCCAGGTGTAGCCCTGGAGGCTTCTGAACACCACAGGTGTGGTCCTGGTCATTTCCAGCCCCTTGGGAAACTGAGCATCACATCCTTGGACCCTCGCATTCAGCCTTCCGGTCTGGTTGGCTTGGGATTACTGGGAGGGGCTCCCAGGCTCCTGGAGTACCCTTTGAGAGGTCCCCCTGGTGCCCCATTTTCCCCACCATGGTGGCCAGGGAGACAGCTTCAATACCTGGAGCACATACCCCGTGTACAAGAGGCCCAAAGCTCAAGCCCTGACATTGCACGGATCCCTGAGCACTGCCAGGTGTAGCCTTGGGTGGACCTGGCAGTCCCCAGGCCTGCTACATCATTACGCATGGTGCACACGGGGCTGAGTATATTTAGTGATGAGTCCGGAGTATTGCTTGGAGGTCCCCTGCAGATCTCCTCCCCTTTCCTTCGGAGACTGTCATCCTCTTGATGACCAAGGGTCGTGCACACTTCGTTGGGTTGGCGGGGTCGTGCTCACACACATGTTCCCAGAGCTGCCCATCATGTGCTCACCTGCACTGGGCTGTGTGCCAGAGACAACACACTGCTGAGTGACAGCAGGCCCCCGGGGGCTTTGCGGGGCCCATGTGGGCAGCCCAGATACTGAACCCATGCCTCACGCTGTCAGGTGGTGCCTTTACCCACCAACTGTACCCTGGGCCCCTGATTTCTGAAAGAAACAGAGATACAGTTGGGAGGTCGATCTTTCTCTTTGTTTTTGGGCCACACCTAGCGGATACTCAAGGGTTTCTCCTGGCTCTGCACTCAGGGATCACTCCTGGCGCTATTCTGGGGACCATATCAGGTGCCAGGGATTCAACCTGGGTCAACTGTGCAAAGCAAACAGCCTCCCCGCTCTACTCTCTCTAGTCCTGATTGGGAAGTTGTTCTGGCAGGGATTTTTAAGCAAGGAGATATGTTGAATAATTCACTTGGTTTTGCTGTCTGGAAAAGCCTGCCTTTTAAACTTTGTCCTAAATCAAATGGTGCTACTGTATCTTTGGAAACTAACAAAACTAAGTGGTGTTAGGAGATCTTTAGAGGTCAAACCTATAGCTCAGGGCCGAAACAATAGCATAGCAGGTAGGGCATTTGCCTTGCACACAGCTGACCCAAGTTCAGTCCCCAGCATCCCATATGGTCCCCCAAGCACCACCAGGAGTAATTCCTGAGTGCAGATCCAGGAGTAAACCCTGAGCATCGCTGGGTGTGAGTGTTACCCAAAAAAAGCAAAAACAAACAAACCCCAGTGTTTTTATTTATTTTTATTTTTTAATTTTTATTAGTGAGACACCATCAGGTACAGTTGTAGACTTACAAATTTTTGTGCTTGGGTTTCAATTATACAATGATCAAATACCCCAGTGTTTTTTTAAATACCTGGATATGTGGGTGCACATTGGTCCTAACTTTAAAGTAAAATCTCTGAGATTTCTTTGAATATCTTTGCTTCAGAATAAAAAAAAATCTACCCCCAGGCCCATGGAAATAATAACCGCGCATACAATTTTTCCTCCTTTGAACTATGACAATTTACTGAGTACCTGCTGGGGGTTGGGGTTTAGTGATAAAAATGAATCCCCTGGAGAGAGAACTCAGCAGTCTGAAGCACATGCTTTGCATGTAGGGTTCAACACCCCCCCCCATCCTCTGCCCCCTCCTCAACCCCTACCCTGGTGTGTCCTTTGAACACAGCTAGGCATGACCTCCAAGCATACAGCCAGAGTACTCCCAGAGCACTGCTTGGTGTGACCCCAAACCCCCTGAAAAGTGAAAAAAAGGAAAAAGAAAAAAGGAACAAGATGTGTTTCTTATTGCAAATCACAGTGGAGGAAGTAAGACCTAAACAACCTGCCACGCTGCAGTGAGTGAGTGCCTGGTTCTGAGATGCCCCCCCCCGCCCCGCCCGCCCCCAGCTCCCCTGAGGAAGCAGTAGTAAGAATGTGTAGCCATAGGTGATTTTAATGACGAGAGCCCAGATAATTGAAGATTTATGATCAGCCTAACCAAATTAGACACCTGTCAACACGACACAGGCCTCCCTAATCGCGAGTGTAAATCTTCCGAGCTGATTGATCACGGTTTCGAAATGAACCCGGCTGCCTGTTCATACTTGCACCGAGTCTTGTGTGGCTGATGGCAGTACACTCTCCAAACAGGCCGGGTTGCCTTTGGGGCAACTCAGAACCTCTTAGGGGTGAAGTATGTCATGCAGGGTTTTTAAAAAAGTGCTGTATCTCGAGATCATTCCAGAGTCACAGGAAGTTAGAAAGCCAGCAGGGGCCCCGTGTACCGGCCCCTGACTCCGTCATACAGAACTAGAGTACAGGGGCCAGAGCCATCGTACAATGGGTGTAATACCTTGCATGAGGCCCTCTTGGATTCGATTCCCGGCATCCCACATGGTCCCCTGAGCACCGCCAGGAATAATTCCTGAGTGCAGAGCCAGGAGTGAAGAGCCTGTGACCCAAACAGCCAAAACAACAAAAAACAGAACTAGGGCACAGGATGATGAGTAGCACAATCTACCCTTTTGTTTGATTTTTTATGTCATTTGTCTTAAAAATTAGTAGTATTTGGCCGGAGGGTGGGGGGCTGTCTCCCAGGCACTGGTGACACTCATAAACCTACCTGGGAGGACAGCTCAGTTTAGTACTTGGGGCTCACAGCGTGGCAGCCACCATCATTCTGGGGACCTCCAGAGTGTCACCCAGCAGGGCTCATGCGGTGCTAGGGGGTCCAACTCAGGTCACTGCAACATGCAAAGTGGTGACCACCCTGGACCCTGCATATGCTTTCTAAAAGTGCTCTTGGGACCTCTGATCCCTGGCTCATGGCTCCAGGTGCTTGTTTCACCGAGCTCCCCGACCCAGTCAGCTGGTGTGAATAAAGACCTACTTATTATTTTTTTTCCCCACCAAGTCTCTAGCTCAGTGTGCTTGATTAAGCGAGCTTTGGTTATGACAAAACCCCTGCTTAAGCTTTCCGACCCAGGCCTCCACACCTGGACTTTTACTGTGCGTGTGCAGAGATCCTGGGTAACGGGCTCTTCCCGCGTGTGAAATAAAACTTGTCACTGACCCCCACCAGTGGGGCCGTGTAGCTGGGACTGCTCGCCCTCCTGCATGAGGGTGTGTGAGGGTGTCTCCATAGCCGCTCTTCCTCTCTGCTCTGAGTGGTCCCATTTCTTCTGCTGTTTCTCATAGGATCAGCCCACCCCCCCCCCCCCAACTGCCCAATCCTTGAAGCCCCTCTGAGCTTTTGTTTCTAAGCTGTTGTGGGTAGGAGACTAACACCTAAGAATAGCTGTGATAAATACCAGGAGGTTCACTCCATGGCTTGGTGGCCAGCCGCACACTCTGGGGGTAAGGACAGCTCAGCTAGAGAAGGGAGCACTAAATGAAGGGTGTTGGGAGGATCCGCCCAGGGTGGGAGATGCATGCTGAGGGTGGACTGTGGACCTAACATGATTGCTACCCAATGTCTCTTTTGCAGACCACGGCACCCAAGGGGAGAGAGACAACAGGGGGGAGTGCCCTGCCACAGAGGCAGGTGGGATGGGGAGATGGGGGGGGGGGTGGGAGGGATACTGGGATTGGTGGGGGTGGAGAATGGGCACTGGTAGAGGGGTACTTGATCATTGTATGACTGTAACCCAAGCACAAAAATTTGTAAGTCTACAAATGTACCTCATGATGTTTCACTAAAAAAAAAAAGCTGTTGTGGGGAAAATGCAGGCTGCTGGTGCTGAGGTTCCATCCATCAGAAAGAGACATGGTTCCAAGCAAGTCTTACAGTTCCTCGGGTTCATCCTGGAAACAGTTCCTCGGGTTCACTAAGGAAGCAGGGAGCCCATTCTCTGCCCGCAGCAATGCCCTTCCAGATGCCCTCCTCTTGAATGTCAGTCTTTGCACTTCGGTGCCTGTAGGAGGAGCCCTTGATAGCCGATTATTTTCACTCTCTGGCCTGGAAACTCCAGGGGTTGGAGCAATTGGAGCGATTCTGGCATGTGACCCACCTGTCCCAGCTTTTCACAACAGCACCTTCCCCTGGA